CAATGTTGAAAGCTGGGAATATAAAAGGCTTTCTTACTGTGCCTTTAAATGATGTGGCCTGTGGGGGAAGACAGAATCAAGAAGTTGCAGTTCCTGAGCACTGGTTTTCTAGGAAGTTGGGACAATGGCTGCGTTTGAAGACTGTTCATATGTAACTTCTAAAGAAGTCTGTTAAAAGCATTTACTCTGAGATCCAAATAGGCCATCCAGGAAGTTGTCAAATGTTTGGTAAGCTGAAAGTGATATTTATTCTGCATGGGCAAATGTTTCTTATGTAGATTATTGTCCAAATGGTGGTAACCTTTAGCCTTTCAGTATGGTGAAAAATGCCTTATGTTAACTCCTGGAGGTGGGGGGGAGACAAATTGGTTGCCTAACTCGGGTTGTGTTAAATATAAAACAAAGGTGTAATACCATTAAAACTGAGATCAGCATGTCATTGGCTACTGGCAACCCTGCGGATATTATAGAACTTCTGTTTCCAGCTAGGAGTTGTGATCTGTCATGAATGTTCAGTCGTGAGAAGTTTGTGTGTATGCACTGTTCAGCTCTCCATATCCTTTTTCACCAAAATTATTATAAATTCACCACTTTTGGTACTAGATGATCAATTCTTTTGTCCTATGTAAAGAAAACTGCTAGTATCAATTTAAAGTTCAAAACACCTCCCACCCCAATCTCAGTTTTCTCCCACACTTGCTGTGTAGGGGCAGACTGTGTGTTTGCTTAATTTGTCTAAGTATGTGGGTTAGAATGTATTTTTACATGACTTTGGAAGCTTGTATTTCATTGTGGTGATTCAAGAAACTGGAGCCAAGGTCACAAGCCTACATTTTTAATCCACCGCTGGGCAGCCTAGCTCATATTCTAAACTCCCTTTGACCCCAGATCTCTCACCAGTGCAGCCTAAAACAATGACACCCACGAAAATGCAAGGCCCAAAATCTTTTCTATCTCTCATCTAGAGGCACCGGTCTTTAAACTACCATCTCCCACTGTTTAGAAGTGGTTGAAATAATTTTCCATCACGAATGGTCTTTTTCTCTACACAAACCATAACTCATCTAGTTATTTCTCCCCTAGAATTTGGTAGTTGCTACATGCTAACATTAGTATAATAGCTTCTAGTCTGGAAGGAAGGCTGTTGGGCTAACTCTGCTCCTAGAAGATCAAAGGCATCTGAACAGCTCCCTGAAAGCCTGGAAAGTGATGAGAAGGGACTTGGTAAGCTTAGCAAGTTATGAAACAATGTGTGCTGAACATGTTTGCAAGTATGGTGTCTCAGTACTCTTGCTGATGGTAAATGATTTAAAATAGAATAGCATACTCTTTTCTTGGTATTGTGTTCCCATTATGGCTCGCTTTAAGCATGGTTAATTGTGAACTACTAATGTTTCAAAATAATTTTTTTTGGTGATGCCATTTGGATGTTAATTGTAGTATCTGAATGCAAAGCACAAAGCTGCAGTGAAAATGAGCTAGGCCACAAGAGGTTGTGTACAGGGAGTTTAGGGGGTTTGTGTGGTAAATATGTCCCTAATCAGATTTTGAAAAGGATAGTAAAATCAACCAGGTAGATTGGACACTTAGCAAGTGCCAATTTATTTTGAGCTAAGAAAGGTTCAGTGATGGAGGGGATAAGAAGGTCTGATCTGAATTTTGTACTGAATACTATCTACGTACCTTCATGGGGGGGGGAGTGGCATTGCCCAACTATTTCTAGTAAGAAATAGTCCAAGTAAAATACAAGTAAAAATTTCTATTAAGAATAGTCCAAAATATTTTTACTTGTTAAATTTTCCTCTTTTTAAAGTAATTTTGTATAACGATGACAGGACCATTCAGGGATACTTTGTGTAAAAAAACAAACCTGTACTGTGCAAATTAAATACAAATTAAGCTGATGCAATTAGCTGTCTGAAAACAATGCGTTATCACATATGTATGTGGCTGATGTGCCTTAAAAATCACTATTTGCAATTGGGCCACTAAGACTATGAACATACCTTTCAAATCAGTGGCCATTGCTTAACTCCTTTGATTAAGGGCTCTAAAAGGCATCCTTTTTTATAAAAGATTTTTCAGCTAGTACTCTAGAAGATTAAAGGGTGGTATCTGCTATTTGTATGCTTAATTGCCCTCAATAGATGATGGATTTGATTTTTTTTTAAAAATACACTGTCAAGGAATCTTGTATTAAGTCAGTTGTAACAATCTTGTAACTGAACTCTAGCTGTTCATGGAAAATGTTCTTTCATAAAGTGTGTGTTCAGACTGGTTTGTGGTTACTAATATGCTTGACAGTTAGCAGTGTTTGAGGCGGGAGGAGGAAGAGAGCTTTGGAAGGTTGAATCCTGCTTTCAGAAACCCAGTTGACACCATATTAATCTGTCTAGGTGGGATGAGAGATGCAGGTGATATTTCAGGCCTATCCCCATGTGACAGCTCCCAACTATTTTTGTTAAAAAATGAGTAGTTTGTTGTACATAGGCTGTTTAGAACTATACTAATCTGTACTCTTTATAATGAAAGAGAGATTAAAATACCATTGGCAAGTAGGATCCTATATAAAGGGATGGCTCAATTCACTTGCCAAAATGTTCTTTAATATACAGTGTGGTGTGATTTTTTTGCTACAAATGGCAAATACTTCCTAAAAATAATCTAAGTTAAGGAAATGTCTTTATAACGTAGAGTGGGCACTGAGCTTAAATTGAGAGGTGTAACTTGATTTTAGAATGTAGGTAGCATTTAAAATGCCCGTTTTGGATGGTTTTTACTTCTGCTGACATTTGTATGAAACTTTGTAAACAGTGACCTTGTTCACTTTACCTGTACTGTGTAGTTGAGGTTTTTAAAAAAAGATAAAAGTACCACAGCGATGAAGATGGACGTGCCATGTTTATCCATAGGGTTCTTTACAAATCTCATTTGTATACGTTATCGTAGTTCTATAAACATTCAGCTAAATGAGCTGTGGATAGACAAATGGTGATGAGCTGTGAGTGGTTATAGTTCTGCGTTAGCCAAAGTGTTTATTCCTTGGAGGTACTTCCATCATGGAACTCACTGTGTTAATTGGCTTTGCTCTTCCTATGAATAAATCATTAGCACTGTTTGTACATATGCTGGAAACTTCAATGAAACTGAAGAGCTACCTTCCCCTTTTTGTGCATAGTGTGACAAGTCCACTACGTATTATTTCTCAGACCTTAAAGGATGAAATTCAGGATGGAGTGAAACTGAAGAAAGCTAAGAGGTATTGGACTTACCTGACATAGTTCTGAGAACCCTATAATTATGACTAATCTGTCAACACTACTTAGCATATTAAAATAATAAACTGGTATGTAAATATCTCCCCCTCCACGCGCACTTTAATGTAGAGGTTAGGAAGGATGTAAATCTTCCGGGCGGGGTGGAGGGTACTCAGTATAGCTTGATGCATTAGACATGTTACTTGCTTTGTCAAATGACACACAAGATTAACACCAAAACCCCTACTTCAAAATCTGTATGCATTTCATACAGGGAAATCAGACCGGGGCAGCTGGAAATCAAAGAGTCTCTAAACTCTCACTACGCTTACAGTGGTATTTGTTTCTAATGTAACATAATAATACTATAACGGTTTTATTTGTGCTGTATAAGAATGGAATTGTTAGTGGTTAAGAGACCACTAGTACATTTCAATAAATGATAAACCAAATTCCTTTGGTGTTTACTTTTTCTTTAGAGTTGGCAATCTGTAATTGTTAACAGTTTCAAGAGTACATTCAGTAAATGAATAGAGTGGGCTCTGCTTTGTGCAAATTTCTCCTTTAATGACTTGAGTATTTGTTGGGTGATTATTTTTTTCCTGAAAAAAAATAGGATTACAATTTAATCCAGTGAAAATATTAATAATTTAGATGATTAGAGGAAAGAGTGCAATATCCTCTTACACGTGAAGCAAATTCACTTCTATTGTATCCATCTAATTTTGTGATAGTTCTGCAGGAACCAAAAGCTGTTCAGAATATGTGTTCAGTCTTTCCTTGGCTCGCTTTCATCCCTGATGTGTGGCTTCAGGATACAGCTCAGTCCTGCAGAAGGGTTCTGTGAATGATTTGAATAAATAAAACCAGGGGCAATAGCTCTCTGCCTGCCTTCCAGTGCTGAATCCTGCAGACACAGGTAAGGAAAGGAACCAATGCCTCAGACAGGAATAGTTATAGTCTACTCTATGCAGGGTTGTTATAGCTGTGTCGGTCCCATTACCTCAACTAGACTCTTTTTGCCAAACATTTCTCATGGTAGCTACGACTGTTTTGGCTCTACAAGTGGCGGTGTAACCAAACTGCTGCAGCCCAGTCCAGCCCTGACATAAGCGCTAAAAGGCTTTCCATTTAAGGGTTTTCTTAAATGGCTTGAACTTTGATCATTTTCTTCACTGATGTAAAAATGTAACTTGTCATTTATACAAGCCTGTCTGAAGGCTGGCCCCTTACATTACAGATTTTGAGATGTGGATATGATCTGAATTCCAGCATGTTTAATTGCTTTTCCTAAGGTCCTTCCGTGTTGCAGGCTACACATGTGGATTTGAATGCGTGAAGGGAATAAGCATGGTGTTGGGAACTGAAGGCCTGAGTTCTAATCCTGACCCTGCTACTAATCTGCTATGAGACAAGGTGGGTGAGGTAAAATCTTTTATTGGACCAAGTCCTGTAGGTGAGAGAGAAGCTTTTGAGCTTGCACAAAGCTCTGATATCCCGGGACCAAAATGGCTACAACAGCACTGCATACAACTATTAAGAAAGGCCAATTTCCATTTCCAATGCTAAAAAAAATTGAACAGTGTGGGGAAAAGTGTGAACAAAAACTTGGCATTCAAGAACACTTCCTTAATCATAAAAAACCTTACCTTAGCTATTGTCTGCATTAATTTGACTCATTAGCAGAACCTGCCTATTTGTTAAATTGTCTCCACTGACCGGCTACAATTTATAATAAAGCTATTAGACCCATGAACACATTTTATTGCTGGTTTGAGATTTACAAAAGAATACAAAACCAAGCTTTCCTGCTACTAAAATATAACAAACAGATTTCAGTATAAAAACAGTTACAAGTCTTCAGTTATCCATCATGTAGTCTTGTCTTCACACTGAAAAGTTGATTGCAAGCAACTGCTGTAGACTACCTGTCAGTACTAGTTTTAGAAGTGATTTGTGATGTGGTTGTCTACATGGAAATACCTTAAATTAACTGGGGAGGGGTGCAGTGACAGGCTATGTTGTCACCTGGATTCACTTCAATTAACAGAAATCTTGGTTCTGAGCGGTCAGAAAATAAAGGTACCAGATTTCTTATTTGAAATCCTGAAGTGACAAAAATCACTACCCCGGAAGCAAAATGTGGTTTCAGAAGACACATCAGCCACCATTTTCAATCTGGGGTGTATTGCTGCATAAATTAACCTTGTGCATCCACATTTGAAATGCTGAGTACAGGGCTCTTTGCACAGTGAGCAGGGCTTAAATTCTCACAGAGTATTTCCTGGAGCCCTGCGGGAGGTGCTGGGTCTGAAAATATTTACAGGAGCTGCTCTGCTCCAGCTGAATTTAAGCTCTGAGCGTCAGACAATTCATTCTGACATACAGCAGGGGGAGTCCATTATTTTTTGTCGAAGTATAGTCAGACTCCAGAGAGACATTTTTTCACACTGCAATAACCATAACAAGGAAATAAGATTTCAAGGTCTGTTCAAAAGTGTCTGGCAGTTCAGATTTGGTTGGTGGTTTGCCTATTGGCTCCCCCTGCAGTATATAGCCTGTGCCATGCTCTTAGCAGTGGAGGAGGCTAAGTACAAAATCACTGGTGTAGGGGGAAAAAGGCTGCTGATCAAACAATGTCTGAAGACAACCCCACTTCCCATTTGAAAGCCTGATCTGACAGTGTGCCCAGTGCCCTGCCCCACCCCCCCACAGTAGAGAATAAACAGGATGGGGAGTGGGAGTTGGAGCCAGTTCCCTAAGCATTCTGTACTGAAGAGCAGTCACATATTCCTATATACTACACTTCCTAGTGACAGAGAGAGACTGTGTTAGGTCTAAAACATTCCCACCAGTGCAGCAGGGGAGACCTAGGACCTGAAACTGACTGGACTTAAGAGATCTACAATGAAAGTGACTATTGTCCAAAAACAGCAAGAAAGGGGGAAAAAAGACATTATTTAAATAGTGTTCTCAAATTTAAATGTTACTAGTGACTCAGGAGAAGGAATTTTATAGTATTTAAACCAACAGTGTCTCTCTAAATTAATTAATATCTCCCCAAAATTTCTTATTGCTGTAGACTTTTTAGCAATAATTATTACATGGTTATTGTACACCAAGATTGTTTAATTATCTTAACTATAAACACAGTGAAACTATTCCCCTGACGTTGATCCATTAATAAGAAAAAAGTTTGCACCCTTATTGCCATCATATATATTAACTAGTTTTCCCATGTATGAGCCCTGTTCCTTTAAAGACATCTAAACATTGACAGTTTAAAACTAAATTATGCCTCTTCCTTTGAGTACTTACCCATGGAGAGACATCAGTTACCCTTTCTCAGCCTGCCCCATTGTTTAACTCAAATGGCTGCAAGAAAAGATCAACTTCCTACTTTAAAAATGTTTCACAGTTCCTTAAAGTTTGTGCACGACAGTACTGAGACACACCTACATTTACGTAAGATTCCTATTGCTGATAAATAAAAAGTCAATCAATGAGCTGCTCCAATCTCTTTCCGTAGAACTGATGTGCCACATGGCACCGTTAGCGTCGCTGTAGTAACCCAACTGGTCTGGTGCTAGGAAGGAAGTGTAAAGTCATGTTGTTCTTCACACGTGGCCGGCGGGAGAACCAGCCGAACAACACAGGTGTGCCAGCTTGAAGGCAATTCTCGCGTTAATCCAGTTAGGATCTGTTAAACACAGATATAACAGCGCTGGAATGTCTACATCATGGGACGTGCCTGCACAGTCCGAGCCCAGCAGGAATAGGAGGGGCAGGAATCCTAGCCCTCTCCACCGAGACGAAGTGTACTGTGGCTGGAAGGCGACTGCAGCAGCCCACTCCTCCTCTTCCTTTTTGTGCTGAATCAACTTCCGTAGCCCCCTAGAAATTTACGACGTGGGCCTGAAAAATGCCGTCCTGCTGCTGCTCCAGCTAAAAATGCAATGTGGAAAAAAAACAATCAGTTCCGTTGGTAAAAGGCAGCATCATCACCAGTGCGAACAGCAACCGCCGCAGCTAGGTCCTTTCAACAAAGCAGTGGTGAAAGCTGTCAAAGTGCCCTCCTGCCCCATTCTCTGAACCACAGTAACCATCATCACAAGGGGAACTCTCTGCCCTTTGTCTGGAACTTGACTGTAGGTTGTTTGGGGCAGGGACCTACCTAGCCCCCAGAGGACAGGTGCACTGCTCCTCCATTCCTCTTCCTCCCCCCCCCCCGCCGCCTGCCCCGCTTAAGAATTCGTGGCTGGGTGGGAGGACTGTGACCAGACACCCCCTGGCCTTCATTTGTATGAATCCCCCCAGTTTATTGATTGAAGTGTATTGGGGACTATTCATGCTGAAAACAGACTGCATGTAGCAGACATGGGGTTGGACTGGGCTCAGCCCTGGGAACTGCAATTCCCGTGTTCTAATTCCAGTTCTGCCACTGACTCGCTGTGTAGTCCCAAGCCTGTTGCTTCACTTCACTGTGCCTCGGTTTCCCCATCAAACAAGGATAATTAAGACACAGCAACCACCAGGGGTGTTTAGTTAGCACTGCTGAAGGGGAATGGATCAGAGAGAATACCTCACAGTCCTGTTTTAGGGCGTAGGCAGGTTTCTGAGCCAGTGGTGGCTTCTTCAAGATGCTCTGTTTTGGAGCCATAGCTGGTTTCCCCTCCCCCTCCTCTGGGTCTTCGTACACCCCAGCCAAAGCGTAATGCTTCTTCCTCAGCTCGCCAAGACGAATTCGCTCATTCTCCAGCTTCTTCTCTAGTTCTAGCACCTTCACCTGCATAACAAGAAGCCCTTTACTCTCTAACCTCAATATGCTGGGTGCACACCACTATGATCCCTCTAGTCATAGACAACAACAGTCAGAGAAGGGGACTGTTCTCCCATCACATTATGGTTTATGAAGCTCTCGATCATGGCTATGTTCTTTTCCAGGGCTGTAATGGGGCCTAAAGTACTTAACAGTATCATAGGGATCTCCTACCCCAGAAATGCAGCCATGTCTGGGGTAGAACGTGGCAGCCATTCTGCACCAGGATCACCATACATTGAGGTTAGCTTTAGGAGGGGATGTGACTAAGACATTTCTGCTGTTGAACCACAAGCTGAATTTTAGGCAGCTTCAGTATCCCATCGAAATTCAATCTTAGCTAATACAGTCTGCCATATACTCCTATTCTAGGAGACTGAACTCTTTGGCAACAACTGGACAAGGTCATTTATGTTGTGTATCCAGTCTCAGCAACAAAACAGAATAGTGTCTGCTTAAATCCATACCAGAGATTCTCAGAGACTAGTTCTGAGAGGATGGCTGGGAGCACTCTGTTTGCTAGATGGTAAAACGAACCCAGCCCTGTTTGCCTATTCTCAGCAAGGGGTGCCATACCTGTGTCTCCATTTCTTCCTTCTTCAGTTTGATTAGCGACATGCCAGAGAAGTCCATAGTATCTTGTGGGGGGAGAGGGAGAGAGAGGGGGATTTATCTTGTAGCTTACAAGGATCATGTCCCAACAACAATACAGAACAGAGCCAGCTGGACACACACAATCTTTCACACACACACTCACTTCAAATAGGTGTGGAAAGTGCTAGTGTAACCCACTGGTGAGTGTGTTACTGACCCTCTCTCTGTGCCCAATCCACAGGTGATGCAAGTATGTCTCCACCCCAGGTACAGAGCCATGATGACTCTAGCTAGATCAACCTCTTTTAGCTTTGGAGTTCCCTTGTTCGATCCCTGGTGTGTCAGCGAGGATGGCCGTTGTCACACTACTTCCCTGGAAACCTTATAAACAGGGACCCAAATATTTATGGGAAAAGACTGAAAAGTCTGATCCTGTAACAGCTAATTTTCTCTTAGTCCCTGTGGAAGTTATTAGAAATCCCTTCCTATATTGTGTCTCCATTATGGAATATTTCACATTAAATGAATGCTAAACTATTAAAAATTACTTTTAACAGTCAATCGCTGAAAAGTTGTAAGAAACAAGAGCAGCTGGTAGTTGGCGTGAGACTGCAGGATAACGACACTCATCTCATCCTGGCTGCATTGCAATTTGGTCCTGTAATTCACCGTCTGTAGTTCAGGCAGGCCTGAACGGTTGGTGCCTAGACAAAGTCCCTAAGATGGCCCTGTGGAGGCTGTAATAAGAGCAGTGGTGTAGATGGTGGTAAAAATGACTGACTGTGCTTCCCAGAGCCCAAAGAGAGGCATAGGACACTGCAGGCCAAAAGCCCAAAACCCCAGAATGTGGGAATCCCATAGCACTTAACACTGATCTATCACTCCATGTCTATGATTTAGTCAGGGATCGGTCCTGCTTTGAGCAGGGGGTTGGACTAGATGACCTCCTGAGGTCCCTTCCAACCCTGATATTCTATGATTCTATGACTCTAGTCTCCTCCCAAAAACCCTGTATGTGTGCTTAGCAGAAAGCATATAAATTATCTGCTCATTTGAAATGCACATATACTGACACTTGGAGAGCTTAAAGTTCAGTGTGAGAGTCATGGGGGTTTCAGTGCAGAAATAGACAAGGCTCTGTTTACACCTCACCTTTGTCTTCAATCTGCTCTTGTCCGGACTTAGTGGAAGCCACAACATTGGCAGCCATTTCATTTACATTGCGTGAGCACTCCTGGAGCTTGACCAGGTTCCTGCTGTTCTTATCGGCTTTCACCTGCAAAGATCAACCAGGTGCTTTCAGAGTTACTTAGCTACAAAGGAAATGCAAAGAGAGGCCAGTCTTTTGTATATATGTAAACACACTTCCAAATGTTTGTGTGAATGGAAACCTGAACTCTTTAGATTCTACTCAGAGCTAAATGAGACACAGCTAAACTCCAGAAATGGGGCAAGATATCATTTGCTTTTATTTGAAAGAATCTGGTTATTTTTAAGAGACACGGCATCAAGCAGGTTAGGCCCAACCTCTAGGTTTTGTTTTTAAAAGGTTATTAGAAATGTTTTTTAAATTTTTTAAATTTAAACATTACTGCAGCAGCATGCTGCTAGTCCATAAGAACCTGAAGATTAAATGGACTAGAAGCAAACGTGAAACTGACTAGTTTATTTTCATTGTCCAATGTGACCAAAATAAGTGAACTAACAAAGCATCAGTGGTGAAAAATAAAATAAGCTTTTAACATACTTTTAGTTTTAATCAACTAACGTTGCAAGGCAGATAAAAGGACCCAATATCTATCGACCTAGCAATCATTTTTAATCTTTAAAAACCTCTTTTGTCCATATATATTGGAAAGGTGGCAGAAAATGGAATATATATAATCTCCAACACAGATGTCTACAGTTATTTATTCTGGGGTTTTGTGTTGGTATCAGAAATCTTGCTACAGAGTCAGCTCACAAGGAGAGGCAAGAAGGTTTTGTATCCTCTTTTCAGAGGCCAGCGCTTCTGGAGATGAAGGATTCAACATCTCTCTTAAAAAAACCCATGGTTAAATTGAAAAGTAATAATTCCTCTCCAAGAGAGAGTTTTGCTTAGCCTGCACTGATTCTGAAGGGGAGGCAGATCCCCCCACCACATTGACACCTAGAGGTGTCCCCACCAGAACAACAGAGGAGAGAGACACTTGTCACAGCTTTACACCTCTTTCTGTTCAAAAGTTTACCTTGGATGCAGCCACCAACTGGGCTGTGCTGGCTGCAATCTCACGGGAGCAGACAATCAGTTCTTCATATTTGCCCATATGCAGGACCACTCTGTCTGCAGATTCTCTAGAATATAGACCAACAGTGAAGTCTGATTAGAGAAGCCTGACATAAATTTAAAGTAGGGAAGTGCAAAGCTATTTATCCTTAGAACTCTGCATGTGGCTTTAAATAATTGCTTGCAAAGCTTTTCTTTGAAAGGGCTCATGTATAGAGGAAACATGCTAAAACCCCAGAGTCTAGAAGTACTTGAAGGGTGTAAAAACCAAGGAGGAAGGGGATGATTAGAGTGGTCCTGGATTCAGGCTATCAGAAAACGAAACTTCCTTGCTGTGAAATGTATTAGGCTGTGGAATATTCTCCCACAGATTCAATCCTACCATTTACGCCAATCAGAATGGAGGTCAGCTCCTGGCAGGACTGAGTCCTACATTATTACTACTGTTTTGATTGTGGTAACACCCAAAATGTATTCAATATTTGCTAACAAAAGGAAGCAAAAATCCTTCCCCATGGGACAAAACATCTGTATTATTAGGGGTCAGTGACCAGGGGCAGGTGGGGCAGCAGACAGGGAGACAACACTAGCTGTTCAACTGATTGAGGGGTTTGGGTACAGAGAACTGGGCTCCTAGGGCATATAGTCGATTTGGTCAGCTCTAAATTCAGTTGCTAGGAAACCGGAGCTCACACTGATTACAGGTTACAGCATATACAGAGGTTCTGTACACCCACAGTGCAGCACCTACTGAGAGTAACTTCCTGTGCAGTGCATGAGAAACATTTCCAATCGGTGACTATTTAAAACCGACAGGCACTGCAGATACCTACACAAGCTGCGTGGCTCCCCATCCCACAGCTTTGGAAGCAGAGATCAAGCCTTCTGTCCAACGGGAGTTCTTGGCATAAAATTCTTGTGTTGTTGCTGCCCCCTGTTGTCACAAAAATGTTAGGTTGCATTTAATAGGACACACTTTGCACTAGTTTCTAAATAAGCGATCAACATATCAAAATAGATGTCACATTTTCAAATTGTTCTTCAAAGTTTCAGCTCCCCTGAATACACCATACACAGCATGCCCCAGGGCACCGTGGTCAAACAAACGTATGCGACCAAAACCATAGAACATGCAGGTGAAATTTTCCCAACCCTGTGAGGCTCCTAAATCCATATCCAGGCACCTACCCAGAAGTGGCCCAGTTTGCAGAAGTGCTGTGCCCAAAGTCAATGGGAGCTGCAGGCACTCCACATCTCTGACAAATCAGGTCACATTCACTTAAATATCTAAATCTATAATTCTAGCCCCCCCAGGATTGAAAATTTTGACTTCTGTTTAAAATAGACCGGATTGAGTCATTGCCATCCTCTGTACCTTGACCAGGCTTGTTAAGATGAGAGCAAACATCTCCTAAAAGCACAAGTTATGGATGCCTTTTTCAATAAACACCCCACATTTCACGGTGTACAGTCTGCTTTAGAAACTGTGACGTTAGGTTAATGTTTGCACAAGTCGAGCAATTTTTGAAAAAAATTCCTCCAGTATTTCATGTCAACCCACAAAGAGGAGTTTCTGTATGGTCCCAAAGTGAGCCTTACCCTTCCACTTTCGACAATCTCCTTCTGTAAGTTGGTAGATGTTATTACGAGAAGCCTAATTGCCTGAAACAAATCAAAGCAGACAATTGTTTTACAAGGATTTTATAAAGAGCAATTGCTCAGCCATCCATTTTAAGTTACACCACATATTTCCAGGAATTTTAACATAGGTTTAATATCAGAAGTACCGACCTTCATCAGATCAGTGCAGGAGTTCAAAATTCTGTCGGAAACAAGGAGAAAATATTTAGCAAGTTTGATTCAGGGAACATCTTCCGGGTGATTAAAATAAAATGGAAATGAAACCGGATCAAGGGGAACCTGGTTTGAGGGACCCCAGAAAACAGCTTCAAAACAGATGCAGCGATGTACAGTACGTGTAGTTTTGCAGTAAAACACATTTGAGCCCAGCATCTTATATACTCTGCGTGAGGTAACGTTTTGCTTGAACTAAGAATCCAACATTGCTGTTATACAATAAGTGGTGATTCTACTAGGCACATGAAAGGCAGGCTTGTCAATAGAGACACCACTACACAGATGGCTTCATTTAAAGAGAGCTATGTCCTCATTAATAGCTCTTCGCCTCAAAAACAGAAGCTCCAGATTCCACAAGTGCTGACTCTCCCTTAGTTGATGCTTTTTACTCACCTCTCGTTCACTTCCAGTTTAACACCAGAGCTTTTATTTCTGGCCTGATTCATCATTTCCTGTTGAGAAGACAGGAAGAGGTGGTTAAAAACTGCCACCTGATTGGCTGTGGTAGGAAAAATAAAGGAAGAGGGTTTCCCTTCATGAGATCCTGCCAAACGAACTGACGTGGTCAGGTCTGAGAATTCTGGATCCCTGTCTGCCTCGGGGGCCTTGACAGACACTTAGCTTTACTGGGACTCAGGCCAGAAGTCTGTCACACAGATTTGCAATTTTTTCTCTGCTAGACACAGAGTCCACGGTCTTCATCTCACCTCTATTCTTCTGACAGCATCTTCAATCGCTGCTGAGGTGGAGGACATTTCCTTATCAACCATATCACCCAGCTCTTCTTGCTTGATGTCTAAGCTTTTAGGTCTTAACTCCTGGCAAAGGGAAGAAAGCGACGAGCCAGTGTGAAATCAGGTGCCAGGATAAAAACTTTCCTAAAGATTTCAAACAAACAACTAGCAAGAATCTCTCTTTGGCCTGGAAAGAGCAAAACCCCAAGAACAAAACTCTCCACAAAGATGAAGAGCTGGGAATGATCCAGATGAACTAGATTCTTGCAGTAAATATATCAGAGGAAGCTCACAGAGATTCAAAGGGTCATAAAGGAAGTTTGGTTTTCTATTTAAAGAAAACACTCCGAAAACAGGGACAGAACTACACTTCACAATGGTGCCATTCTCAGCCAGCAGGAGTGCTGCAATAGCTTTCCAGAGTACACAGAAGGCAGAACAGCTCATTGTTCTATAAGTTAGCAGCATATTAATGTATAATGCTAGTGGGGATTTGGAGGCAGGAGGGTGTATGTGGCTTTGCAAGTTTTTCACAGTTTCAGGGAGCCACTTACTGGGCTAAAATAACTTGATCTGGTCTAAGGGTATTTCCACTGAAATGCTACCTAAGATCATGTTATTTCAACCTCTATAAATGGCTCCTAGAATTAAAACAAAGTACACGGGGAATTAAAAAAAACACCAAATACAAAAATTGAGATATTGGACTTTGATCAGGTTCCTGCAGAACCCAAATGCACGGGAGAGAGAGATTCAAATTAGATCTTAGATCAGGATTGTCCCCCAATCTGCGCTTGTACAGCCCCCAGCACAATGGAGCCTGCTCCTACATAAGGAGGGTGAGTGCTACAAAAATACAAATAGAATTAATGTGTGAAGGCTCCAGGCTCTCAGTGATGCCTTCACCAATATTACGTTCATTTGGGGTTTGTTCTTTTAATCTAAAAAGAAAAAATAGGCATTTGCTCCACATTAATATCTAGACAAGATCATAAAGAATAAGACATGAAACCAATTCCAAAAGAAGGTTTCCTTTTTCCAGCGGGGGCTTTGAATGCTGAATGAGAATTCAATACACACTTAGATTTTAAAATGTTACCAAATACAAACACAGAACTCCTGCCCCGTGATTGCAAGAAAAAGAAATTAGAGGGGGGTTTAAATACAGAGCAGAGGAAAGAGGTGACGGACTAAGGGAGGCTGGAATACATCACAGCTCTGGATTTATGGTGTAGAACAGTGAGGAGGGAGGGGCAGCCATGGATGGAAGCGGAGCAAGTCCCTCATGCTAGCACTCACCACAGCGAATGCATCATTGCCTACCAGTCTAAGACACAATGGTGGGGTCCTTTGGGGGCCTGCTGGTGGTACCAAGAGCAAACGCCCATCAGGACGAGACTCAAGGAGGGAGATGTTCTGGGACCTGGAATAGTCATTTCTGAAGAAGGTAAAAATGCCATGTCTAAAACCCAAGCCAGTCCCCAGCCTCGGGTATAACAAGCTGGAAGGATCCGACAGACTTTCCAGCAAGAGAAAAAAGTGAAAGGTGTTAAGCTCCTTGCTGCTAAGCACTAATCTGCATTCATCTCTAGCCAGCAGAAGCCACATCCTTGCAGAGCAAAGGCTTAACTTTGCCGCTATAAATAGAAAGCAGGAAACCACCAGGCTCCGCCATGCACGTCACCAATGACAGAGGAAGCCAGGGGGCGCCACTTGCAGACACTGTATTTCGTTTGCATCTGAATCATCTGAGCATCCTCTTACTTGCATGTCTCAGCCCCAGTGGGTTAAATCCATTCCTGGTGTGGCTTCTCGGGAGAGGATGGAGTTACACCAAGGGTGGATTTGTCCCAAGACAATGATGTGTGTCTAAGATGAAGTGCTCCTCCACGAGAGTAGCCCCACTTCCAAGAATCGCTCCCTACCTGGCCCAGTTGAAGGATGCCCTGTAGAGTTCTCCTCACGTCCTCCGGGTTTGCCTGTCTCAGCAACTGCTTATCCTTCAGCTCGTTCAGATACTCCAGACTCCGATGCCCACAGTCCCTGCAGGTTTCAGTTAATTCTGACAGGAGAAAGAATCTCAGTTACAGCAACGGATTAAAAAAGAATGCAGGCAGTTTGTTTCCTTTGTGCGAGGGGGGTATGGTCTAGTGGACCAAGCACAGGACTGGGGGCCAGGAGCCCCTGAGTTCCAACCCTGGCATTGACACACAGACTCCGTCTGTGGCATCGGCCTCAGACACATTGGGTGGATTGAGCAATGTTTGTAAAATGCTTTGAAGAGTGTGATCTTGGTGCCACGTATTACAGTTGAGGAGAGAAATTAAACAACAGGAAAGACCCCCAGCCATAGGAGAGAGTCAGGTGAACAAACAAGACGAGGCAAGAAATAGGGAGGCAGCGTGGTCTAGTGGCCAGAGCACTGGACTGGCGCTTGGGAGACATGGGTGGCTGTGGCATTAACTCATTGCATGCCCTTCGGCAAGTCACATTGTCTCTCCGGGTCTGTGTCCCTGCCCACCCTTTGTCTATCTTCTCTGGTTCACATGGAAGCTCTCTGGGGCAGGGACTCTCTCACTACGTGTTTGCACAGTGCAGCCCTGATCTTAGCTGATACAGCAAGGTGCTAGTGTCATAAAAAATAAAGGAGAGCCTGCTTCAGGGACGGCTTTGCATTCATTCCTGGCAAAGAAGGAAGATTGCCCGTAACGTTCAATTAGTGCATGTCCAGACAACAGAAAGGAAGATCTGCTGAAGCCTGCACACCATTTAGTAACCGGAGAGAGGCCCTGAGTCAGATCTGCCCTCCCCAGCCCTAACCAACACGCAGCGAGTCACTCAAAACCCCTCCAGCAGACATGAACCTTCCTGCTCATCATCAGATGTGCCCCTCGCGGGGCTAAGGTTGCAGCGGCACGAGAAAGTACCGGCTGCACGTGCATGTCCTCTTTCCATCAGCCAGGCGCCGACAGCAACAGTGGGTCCTGCCACCCTCCCACATTCCATGTGGGTTGGGGGGCCCCCAGAGGCCCAATGCACTAGGCAAATGGAGGGCGGGTTGTTTTCAAACCTGCACCAACCTCTGGCATCTGCTGATTACGTGGAGCTGGAAATGTGGGCATGTTTGAGAGCAGGGGAGAGCCCATGAACTAGTCACTACAAGGCATTAGATGTATTAGCTGGTTGGGTCTCAGTCCAGTGTCTGCATCACACAAGTTACCAGCACCTTTGGCACTAAAGGGCACCATGCTGGCAGAGAGACCAAGGCCTGACTGGACCATTGAGACCAAAGTCCCCTGCTCCCACCAGGGCGATCTCTCACATCAGGTTGGAGGCACCTCAGCAGGGTAGTGTGGGGGATCCTGCACTGGCCCGGGCTACACCATGGCTGCCCTGGGAGTGGACAGGATGCAGGGCTGCCTGGCTGATGCCAGTCCTCACTGCACCAGGATTTTTGAAAGCGCCTAAAGCAGGTTTTGGGTTAATTACTCACTGTCAGCATGGTCAGTGGGTGCCATGTGGGACGTGGCACTGCCATTCACGATGGTGTCAGCGGTCAAGTGAGCAAACTGGGCCAGGGCTGCTACCAACCCAGTGGCATCTATCGAAACAAAGAGAGACAGGCCACAGGGTGAGCACTGGACACCGATGCTCTCACACAAAGGTCCCTGCACCACAGAAACGTTTTGGGGACCATTCTAGGCGGGAAGTTGCCTGCTTGGTGGCCATTGGCTCGCCCTTTTCCTCCCCTATACTAAACGTTTGTCAGCGACCCCCAGAGCAGAGAGCGAAGGCTAGTGTCTGAAGCACCAATGCTCAGAGCTGGGACACACGGTGAATCGGTAACCGCCTGGCAAGCACAGAGCTGTCCACGCACAGGCCAGGGAGCCAGGGACTCCTGTACCCTAGTCCGAGCCCCAACATTGACTCACTGGGCGACCCTGAGTAAAATCACCCTGGACAACCTTTGCACAAACAGGAGCCTGATGTTGAGGCCAAAGGGACGTCTGCACTTAAGTCACTTGGCTCCCTTTGGAAATTCCACCCGTGGGAGCCTAAATATGGATTTAGGAGGCTGAACTATTTTGGCCTTAATCCCTCCAAGTCTCAGCGTTCCCCCACCTGGGAACAATAATCCTTAGCTCCCAGATAGAGAGGTTGGGACTTGAATACCCTGAACACAAGAAGAGCCTCATTAGTTAATTCACGTGCATGTATTAAAATGTGCCCGTCAGAGCTCTGGGCTTGCAGGCACTCTCCATAGAAATGACAGCCCAGGGCTAGCACACCCCATGCTCCCCAACCCATCCACAACCAGAAAGTTTCCAGCGCTCTCACTGCCCAAATCCCCACCTCCTCCATGCATGACTATTGCTGCTTCCCGGCGGGAGCCCAGCCTCTCAGCACTGGGGCAAAGTTACAGGGTATTGAACGTAGGGTATTGAACATGGCCCGTTGCCGTGTGATTTATTTACACCGCACGGATTTCACAAACACATTAAGCACACGGAATTGTTCAAGTCTGGACCAAATCGCAGTGACCACGCCCAAACTTCCTTGTCTGCCCATCTCAGACGCGCCCTCCCGCGGGACTGGCCTCGGTGCCAGCTTTCGATCCGGGCACACAGCGCCCAGGCACCTTTACCTGTCATGTTGGTCATATACTGCGCGTGCCCATTCACCAAGGAGTTCACGGACTCCAGGGCTGCCTGCGCCTGGCTGATGAGGTAATCTGCAAAGACACCAAGGGTCAAGTGAAGGTGAGGAAGGGGTTACATGGGACATGGGCCTGAACTAGGCCACGTACCTGCCTGAACAGCCCAACGCTTTGGAGGGTCTGGATGTTGCAGCTAGGCCCCCTATCAGGAGAATTAACCTGTTCCTGGCTTTACGGGCCACACTGTCCTACCCTGACTGCATTAGTAAGACCATACCTCCGCATACTGAGCAAGGAGTCGCAATCCAATCGGGGGCTGAGCCTTTATTTTGCCACAAACCCTTTTGAGTGCTACAGTGATTTTGAGATGCCTCCTTTTTACTGAAGCCCAACACTCCTTCAGCCGTGACCGAGCTGCTGCTGACCTGAGACCCCTGGTTCGGAAGGCCCTGCAGCTATTCGGCACCAAGAGCCATTTCCAGACCTGCATCTGAGCCTGGCATCTAAGCCTGGGCACCCAGAAGGGCACAGACATTAGCACGGAAAGTGGATCTAACAAACGTTCTGCCGAGGCTTGGCTGGCCAGATGGGGGCGGAGGGTGGGATCAGCATTACCTATCCCTGCCTGAGGGGATCTTCCCTCTCCTCGCACTCCAGCATCAGGTGTCCAGTTGACTAAGCCGAAGGGTGGTTCAAGCAGTATTTGGGTCTGACTCACGAAAGGAGGAAAATTCTGTGTTGCAGATAATCCACCTCAGGGAAAGCCAAGGAGCCCAGAACCCCTCAGGCTCAATATTTAGCCAAGAAGACGGTGTCGGGGAGGCTTATGGGGCAGCGTCACCCACTGCCAGGGAGAAGGCACAGAGCCAGCTCTCATCTGCAAAGCTCGGCTTTCCCTGGCTGCCAACAGCCATCAGCCGAACAGCTCCCTACCTGGAGAGCTGGTGCATTGGACGTGCAAGGGGTCATCTAGCTTGGCAATGGCATCTTGGATGATGTTCTCTGCCTCCTTCACCGTCCCCTGGAGCATACCGAACTGGTCATCCAGAAGCTTCTGCTGGAGGCTCTGCTCCTGGTTTTTCTGTAGGTTGTAAACAAAAGACATTACACATGCTGTAGGGTCTCAGAGTCTCTCCCAGCCTGCAGTTGCAGGAACTGCTTTCTCCACCTCTGCAATAATCATTTCCCCTCAGCAGTGCCCTTCCTCCCAGGGTCTCAGTGGGCTCTACAGACATTGCTCCAGAGGCTGGTGGGAAGTATAACCTCCATTTCACGGATGGGGAAACTGAGAAGAGGTAAAGTGACTTGCCCAAAGCCACATAGGGAGTCTCTAGCAGAGCCAAAAGAGAATCTAGGGTATGTCTACACTGCAATTAAAAACCCGTGGCTGGCCCGTGCCAGCTGACTCGGGCTCACAGGGTTCAGGCTACAGGGCTGTTTAATTGCAGCGTAGACGTTCGGCTCAGGCTGGAGCCCCTCTTCTCTCCCACTCCTGTCCCTCACTCACAAGGCCAGCCTTCACCACGCAGCCACACTACACTCCAGTCCAGGAGAGGGAATGAGAAACGGGCTTTGGCAAGCCAGGGGGTTATCCGGCACGAGGCCAGAGTGAATCTTGGGGATACTGAGGAGGCCTTTCGCTGCAAGATCATACAAAGCCCAGATTAATGGCAGAGTCAAGAAGAGATTCTCAGCTCACTGCTCTGACCACTGGGCAATACTCCCTCCCAGAAGGGCAGAGATGTGGAGGGGCTTGGTTTATTGCTGGCTGCAAATCACCTGGAGATCTGCCCATGAGAGAAGCTGAGTCACTGTGAGTGACCATTCAGGTTGTAAGGGGTTCACCATGCCAGCCACGTGACCTTCGCAGTCTGGCCACAAAGGTGGTTTCTTTGGCGTTAGGTAAATTCATTCCACACTGGCTAAGCCTCCTGCCTGGCTCTTTTCTCTGCCTGCGCATCACTCGGGGCCTCAGCAGGTTCCGAGGGATGCTCGGGAAAGGGGCTTCTGCCCTGAGATCCTAACCATTTCTCCCCAGTACCTTTTCCATGAGTTTCCCCTGCAGCTCCCTGATTTCTTTAGCACTCCTCTCTGCCTCCTGGTTCAACAGCAGCTCCTTCTCCTGAATCAGGCCCTTTATGGACAGCAGCTCACACTCCTTCTCGCTCACCGACTTCCTCAGCGAGTCCTTCTCAGCATGCAGGGCTTCCACTTGGGAGTGGAGCTCGGAGCCAGCCTGAAAACAAAGCAGGAAGATCCAGGGTCTCAAAACTGCTCTCACACAATCCAAGCCCTCAGCATAAATCTCTGCCTGCTCCACTATGCACCAGGTACCAACTAACCCCCATAACAGCCAATGCCAGCCAGCCATGGGGGATTCTTGGCTTTCTAAAGATCTGGGAAGGAATTCAGTGCTCTTAGAAAGTGATGAGGGACAGCCCCAGACACAGAGACCCCTCCCGTTATCCAGCAGCAGGGCAAGCTTCCCTCAGACTGTTCTCCTGGAGAGACCAGCACAGGGAGTGGCATGAGATCACCATGGCCTTGGCCTCTCAACTAGTTAGCACCTAGTCCAGTGGTGGCTTCTGCAAAGAGGACATGCACCAAGTGGGAACGGGCCTGGGACCCACCGAATTCATTTACACACAAGCCGTTGGACAGCCAGCCACTGGAGTCAGTGCCCTAGACATGAAAGATTTACAGCCCATGATGAATCCCCTGAGACAGCCCATCCCCATGCAGCATCTAGGGTGAGACTCTGTGCTGCTTATCTCAGAGGCGCAGCACAGGACTCCCAGCCCTGGGTGAGTGGGCCTACAGTGGCTTTAAGCCGCCTCTGTGACCTCCGAACCCTGGGCTGCTCCAGGGCTGGACTGGCCTCCGCAGTAGCTTGGGGTGGTGCCGGGCGGTCTGTCTAAGTTACAGCAGACTCCCAGGGCTGCCTCATGAGCCACAGCTCTGCCCGGAATCTCTGCAGTGCTCCTTGCTGTACCCCATCCACGCCCTCTCTGCTGAGACTTGCAAAGGGGGGCTCACGAGGCAGCTGTACGGCTGTCTTACACAGGACCTGTGCTGTGGAACCCCGCCCCTGGAGAGAGAGGGATCTTTCAGGGCCCCTTTATGCCATTCCAGCCCCTTTATTCGCAATAGAGGGGTTGGCACCAGGGTGACGCTCTCGGGGTTTATCCCATGTTCCTTATAACTCCAGTTCTCCAAGCTGAGGTCCATCTACAGCCTGCACAGCCTCTGCAGTATATTCAGGTTGCCACCTGGTGGATCGCGCACTCAGAGAACCTGGTTTTAATGAGCGTGGGGAGTGGGAGAGGAGATCTCTAGGATCTGAGTGGGAGCAGTTGCCTGGCGCCCTGTGGGTCTGAAATGCTGCCTAAGAAGAGCAGGAAGTCTGCCAACATATTGTGTGGCCATCTACACAAACACACAGGGGCAGGGCATCCTTCATTTCCTTCCCCAGCAAGTCACAGGGATGCCAGAAAGTCCCCCACAGTTGAAATGCATCACCGGGAACTCTCTTACAGGCAGGATTCTGCTTGGAGTCCAATTTCCAGAGCTGCTAAGCAGCCCTGGCCCACTGCTTAGCACCTCGAAAAAGCAATCCCCTTCGTGGGTGCGCTCCTACCATCTGGGCCATGTACCTGCTTGGAATTGCTGAGTGAACTCTGAATCTGGGTCAGCTCTTCTTTCTTGGCTTCCAGTTCTCTCTTCAGCTGCTCCATCTGCAAGGTCTGGTCTTCAAGCTACATTTGCAGACAGACAGACAGATGGGAATCAGAGAAGGCATCAGGATAGCTCTCCAGTTTTACTTCTGTGCCCATTTATACAATGGCTTTCTACAGCTCTGCAACCCAGGGGGCCACAGGCAAGGCAGGGCAGGGCAGCCTAACTGCTTAAAGAAACAGGAGCTTACATTTTCCAGAAGTGACTAGGGATTTTATTTGAGACACCTTAAAGGGCCCAATTTTCAGCAGGCGGGTGCTCGGCACATTCTGAATACCAGGCTCCCATAATCTTTAGTCACGTCTGAAAATGTCGACCCACCCTGGAGATTTCATGGACAGACAGACAATGAATCTGGAGGAGATGTGGGTGAAATGTGCCTATAAACCACCTGACTGCCGAGGAATCTGGGCAGCGACAATCTGGTCGTTAGGAAGGGTTTGAATCACTAATTGCCCTTGAAGGCAGAGGGCAGGCTATGTATTGGACACAAGGAAGAGTACTAGACTGTGTCTCGATCACACACGCAATGGGCTAGTCGGGGGACTGCTCTCTGCTTGGAGAATTTCAGTCCCATTCGTTCAGGCAGCTGTGCTGGAAAACACAAATGCCAAGGGCTGATTTTTCAGAGATGCTGAGCGCTCCCAGCTTCCACTGACCTCAATGTTCAGGGAAGGCTGCCTTGGTGCTGCAGGTGCTCAGCACCTCAGAGAAATCAGGCCAGAGATGATCACTTGATCTCAAAGCAGCCTCTTATTTTGTGGCTGCCAAACCAGCGAAGACACCTGCGTGTTCAGGAGCAACACGGCTCTATGCACCATTTTTTCAGGTACGAACACGTGCACACGCATTCCTGCAGGAACAAGACCAGCCCTCGAGGCTATTTTGGTCAAAAGCAAGGCAGAGCTTTGGGCAGCAGCAGACATACCTTCATCTCCGACTCCCGCTTCACCTGCTCCATCTGAAACGCCAGCTGCTCTTTGACACGAGCCACTTCTTCCTGGCTCTGCTGGGTGACTGTCAGTTGCTTAGCAGTATCTGCATTCTGAGCACAAGAGAGGAGGATTGGAGAGTTGTTTCAGTATATCAGAGGGGCGTGTGTGTGAGGGGTGGGGATGTGGAACATCCAAGCACCACTGCTAGGGTTGAAAGCGTTTCATGACTCATTCAATCCAGTCGATTCAAATTCCAAATTCCTCATTTGATCCTTCGCCTCTTTAGTCAGGCCAATGAGCCCTGGCAGGAGCTGTATTTTGGACAGCACTTTGCATACAAAGTACATATCCCAGGTAACAGAAAGAAAGAAATTGACAGGCCTAGGCAAAGATAAAGGGGGTCATGGAGAGACATAGAAAGGCTGCAGATGGCAGGAAGGGACTCTTGAATTAACAGTGCCGAGACTGCAGGGACGGATAGAAAAGAGGCCAGGGTTAGAAGGCAGTGGCAGCAGGGGAGTGGAACAGGGAGAGAAAAATATACAAGCTGATTTCTGTGACACCCTCTGGCTCCGCTAAAGCCCCAGCCAGCCTGTAGCCACACTAACCAGCCCTCACCTTTCGCAGCAGCTCTGCATGCGTGTTGATGAGCTCGCTGTGTTTCTCTTTCAGCTTGGCATAGCGCATTTCCGTGGCGCTGGCTTTCTCTGGCAGAGGCGAGAACATTCCCAGTGTTAGTTACACCCAAGAACTCCACCCCAGCGATTCAGTACTAACCAGCCTTCTCTAACCCACAGCTGCTCACACACAGGGAAAACACAGGCGAAAAGAACAGCAGAGACTAGTTGCTAAACACAGGGGCATCCTCTTAAGCAGTTTGATCCAGTTTGTTCCCATCACTTTGACATAAGCAGCTAATGGCATTTCCCTTAAAAATATCTGGTCAAACACACTGCAGCTCCCAATAGCGATACTGCAGGTTTGGAGCTGTTCCTGACGAAACAGTGAATGGCTACATGGAACATCTCTCCACAAGGGACAGACCCAACACCGCAGCCCTGGATTCAGCCACCCATGGGCACCAAAGGTTTATTTTAGTTCTAGGCCCCTCGGTTCATGCTTTCCTTCTCTCTCTCACGTCCCTGAAGATGTCACCTACTTTCAGCTTCAACGTAAAGCCCCTGCGTCCGGCTGCTCTCCAGCTGTGCCCTCTGCAGTCGCTCCACCTCATCCCGGAGTTGTTCGTTATCCACCAAAGCTTTCTGCTTTTGTTTCCGCTGCCCCTCCAGCTCAGCCTCCAGGCTGTTGATCTGGGCCTTGAGCTGCGAGATGTACCGCTGAGCCTACAGACACAGCCAACTGCAGTTACCCACCCGACTCAGCGAGCCTGCACGGAGTGAGCACAGGGCTGGGGGCCAGGCACTCCTGAGTGCTAGGGGTGGCTTCGACAAAGACTCTGACAATGGCCTGCTCTGGATTCCCCAGAGTCTACATTGGCCTGTGAAATCCTCAGCGAATATGCTAACACACCCAATCCGACACGGGATCTCTGGGAATGGCACTAGATCCAACTGGAGAGGAATATATTTTTCTAACTGCAAAATTGCCTTCTCCCCAGTACACTGAGCCGCCCAACTGGTGACACATTCAGCGAATAATTTCAGGCCTGTCACCCAGCTGTGGTAATCCGGAAAGTTCTAACATGAGAGGACACAGAGCAGTGACAGAGGACAGGAACTGGGTTCTGTTCCCATCTCTGAGAGACTTCGGGCAAGTCAGGCTCTGAGCTATCGTGTGATACAAGCCACACCATCCTGTTCCTTCTCCACCCCAGCTCACCGCAGTGCCAGGCTTTACCTCCAGTTTAATTTTCTCTAGCTCAGCTCGAAGCAAGTCCACTTCTTTCTTTAGGGTTTCGATTCGGAGATCCCTGGGAATAAACAATGAGCCTCATTACCAGCCCAGAAAGCAGCAGCACCCTCCTAACGTCAGCTGACCGCGGTCCCCCTCACCTGTCATCCCGAACGCCATTGGGGGGGCCGAAAGTCTGTTCAAATATATCCGACATGTTCTGCAAAAGAAAAATGGCACCCGAGTTAGGCTCAGCCCTCCAAAGTGTCTTACAGGGGTTGGCCTAAGTCTGATTGGGCCTCGACCGCCTGGAAACCAATCACAGAAAGTCTGGGAAGGCGGCCAGGTTAATCTGTTTTGCACACAAGCTGTCAGTAAAGCTAGAGACAACAGTTGCAAGAAGCTCAATACCCTGGCTATAGGAGAGAGCACTATTCATGCCACTTACTCCCTACTGGGGCTCATCCACCCCAACAGCCTCCATGACAAACCAAGGCTCTCAGCCTCCTGCCAGCCACTCAGATTACAATGATGTGAAAAAAATAGCCCCTTTCTACCACCATGGTCCTTGAAAACATTGTTAAACGTCAGTGTCCTTCCAAATTAGAAGGCAAGGAACTTCCTAAATCACTGGGTCTGCATCCCATGCTGCCATCAACTTCCCTGCCCTAGACAGACTTTGGTTTTCTTGCCTTTCCAACACACCCCTGAGAAGAATCTCTGAGCTCCCACCTGCTGTTCCCCTGGAGGAGCCGTACTGTCCACTGGAGGAGCCGTACTGATCTCAATTAAGTTTTCTGGTTCTTCGTCTTCAGGGGCCTCCTCGGGGATGACAACCACCGGTTTCACATGCTCTGCCAGGGCAGACGCCCGCAAGAAGTTAGGGGGGCTCTGTCAAGACAACAGAAAACCAGACATGTTTCACCTGGTTGTGGTTAAATGAACTGAACAGTGCACCCAGAGTACAGCCCCAGGGGGGGAGAGCACATTGCTAGATCAGAAGGGTATTGGGTACCATCATGATAATGTTCTGTTAGGCCTTCTGCACCTCAGGGTATGGGAGAGAACAAGATAGTCCAGTGGTTCTCACACTATGGCCCCTGGCCCACTGGCACCCACAGAGCCATTCCTGGCGATCTCTGGAATTGAACACTTTGAGAGCCAGGCAGCAGGGGCAGATCCAACGAGTGTTTTGCTCTCTCTGACAGAGTGGCCTGCAGAGTGAAAAAAGGGGGGAACCCCTGACATGGACAACCAACCTCACCCCCGCTGATTGTCCACGGTGCCTGTTGCACTGCTGCCTTCCTTTGAAAGTTGATGGGAACAAGACACACTTTCAATGTCTGGCATTGTTCCGGCCATCGGATCAGCCAACATTCCCTCTCTCTGAACATGGAGCCAGCTGGCCATCGCAACAATCAAGGAAATTCATTGCTGAAGCTGAAGACTTCAGACCATTGAAATAAAGAGACTGCAGGACACACTCCCTGCATTGCTGTGAGCACCTTGCGATAGGCAGTCATTATAGGGAGAATTAAAGCTCAAGCGAGGCACCTCTAGCTCTGAATTCCCTTGCTCTTGGACTCTGAGGTGCATTTGGACACCTGGAGAGCCATGAGTTGCCCCATGGCAACTGAGATCAACAGGGTTACCCATTTTCTACCCTGAAGTGCCTGGCTTGGGTTGCCGGCACACCTTCTTGTTTCAGAGACCTCATTACAGCACTCTGCTTTCCATGCACTGCACGCACTTAATAGACTGCAAGGCCTTTGGGGCAGGGTATTCTGTAAAGTGTAGTGTATGTTTCTGGTTCTGTGGCTAAAGACATCAGCACGCAGTAAGGAAAGTGGATGGTACCTCTGGCAGCCTGGGGATCTGGATGAGCCGCTTGAAGTACAACATGTCTGAAGCCCTTTTAAAGAAGTTTTTGAGGCTAGAGAGAAGAAAACGGAAATCATTAAAATGGGAGTAGTGGGAGCCTTGGTGAATGGAGCATTCGGAACAGCTGCGAGTCACTACCCCGCACTAAAGCGCCCTTCGTTACCTGCGGAACTGCTCATGGAACCGGTCTCGGTGACCTTGCAGTGTATCAGCTGGCAGACCTAGAACAGTCGAGGAGATAAAGGAATTACCAGCCCAGCCTGATAAACACAGCAGGTGCTAAGGCGGTGCACAGAGCACAGTATCACCCAGTGCTTCAGCTGGGAAAGGATCTTTCCATACACCTGATCCAGCTAGCTGGAAGAAACTGCCCATGAAACACTGGGTGAGAAAGAGATCTCTGAACACTCCGGAGAAAAATGTACTAAAATGTGATCTGACCACAAACTACTTTTAAAAAAAATCCAGGTAGGCTCAAGGTGCTAAAGCCGGTCCCCAGAAGTTTTCACGTTTGGAGATGCAGTTTAGTTACTGGTGCCTCAATGGGAATCCAACCTACTGCCTGTCAGATGAAAGTGAAACAGGAATTCTACTGTGTTCTACCCCAGCTGTGGCTGCAGCTGCTGCTATATCTCTTTTACGGCCATTTGTGTTTCAGCCAAGCTCGGTTTGATCTTTTAATCCAAGTGGGAAGCATAATGCTGAAAGGAGACGGGGCTTTGACCCTCTCATTTCCTGGGAATGTGGAGTACTCAGGTTCCCAACCTCCAGGTGAAATCAAACCCTTCCTCGCGGCTCCCTGGAGAACCAGTAACAAAGCATGTACTGCAAACAAGGGAAGTAGTCAAAAAGTCAGCAATGGAAACAAATGGACTATAGTCCACAATCAGAGCGCATACTTTATAAACCTTCCGTACACACAGACAAGCCTGATAGTGTTACTGAGCTGCAGGGATATGAAAACTGAAAGCTGATTGCAGGGGAAGGTGCTCTGGGATGAAAGTGTATCTTTACAGTGGGGGAAGGGCCTTTAAAAGGCATCAGAAACCCAGGCATAGGAATTACTGCTCAGCTCAGCACTGTCACATGCAGATCCCTGCTTTAACTCTTCCAGCAAGAGGAAAGTGAAGCTTGGCCCCTGAAATCAAGCAAATGGCCTCAGGTGAGAGACCATCATGAAGGGAGAGGTTTGCAAAATGCACCATGGGGCACCATGCACATGGCTCACATTAGTTATCTTAAGCCAACACTTGGGGTTTAATAGTGTAGCTGGCACCAAGACACGGGGATAAAAGGAGAGATTAATGGCTCATGTAAGGAATTGTATATTAGCAATCACCTACCAACACTCAGTGACAACCAGCAGCATGCACGGACCGAAGTCCGCTCCAACCTAGCACCATTTTTAAAGGCAGCCATTGCTAGAAGTGCCTGTCCCCACCAGTCAGAAAATTCATGCGAGAGCCCTGCTAACACCTTGGCTGTCAGCCAGCCTGGGTCTGGTCTCACAATGGACAGGCCCTGAAACAACTGGATATTGAAAGAACAGATTCATAGATTCCAAGGGCAGAAGGGACCATTAGCTCACCTAGTCTGACCTCCACAGAATTGCACCCAGTTACCCATGTCCCCTGCTTACACAGCCGCATGGCTCCCCTGCCCCGTGGGTAGTGCACTGAATTAGATATTAAGCCACACAGTGTCCGGCACAGTCAGAAAGCCTGGGGCGGAGGAGGGAGCAGGGGCCTGAAAGTGTTTATCACTGTCGTGAGGTGAAGGGTGCCAAGCTACTTGAGACATTTCAGTGCCGCAGATAAAGCCAGCTCAGTGGTATAAACAGGAAGTTGTTGCAGGTTGGCACCTGTTAATGGCTTTAACCCGGCACCCAGGGAAGCTGAACTGCCGCAGGTGCAGTGGTGGCTGCAAGTGGCAGACGCGACCGTGAGTTCAGACGCCAGAGGGGCAGAGCTTCAAGAAATCACGTGCGGGGGGGTGACTCACATGCGTGGAGCTTGAACATTAACTGGACAGTGTAGTGATAGAGGTGGCTGCAGTCCTGGATCACCTGGATGAGAGGAGCCAGCCTGCACTGAACAGACGACATCTGAGACACAGCCATGGCGGTGTTGAGCTGTCTGAGAACTGCAGGAGGAAGCGGGGTTAGGACTCTGCAAGGGTTTCATCTGGTAAGAGGTGCAGTTAAATACAGGCTGCCCGGGGGCATGTTCAGGCAGGATGGAAGGGTCTCACTGACAGGCTGCTCCCAAGAGAGGAAGAACGGCCTCCTGGGACACAGGAGATCTGGCTTCTAATACTGGGCCGATCACAGACAACTCCTGCCTGCGTCTATCTACTGCTACTGGGCAGAATCGGGACCAGAGGGCGAGACCTGCACAAATGAAGTCTTTACCCAGTGTCAGGTTACAGTGAGACAAGTTAAAAGCCAGTTCAGTGCAGCTGGGGTGGCTAACGAGATCTTGGATCAGATAGGTACAGACTTGGTGTCATTCTGGGGAAGCAGCATACGGGAACCCTGACTGAGCCTGCAGCTGGAGCCCTACTGTCTTTGTTTACTTAACTTCCATTGGGTGGAGTGGAGCGTGCTACCGGGATTACAAAGCTTTATAATTAACTACGAAGTCCATGTCTCTACCTACCACAAGTGGAATGAACTCTTGGTTCACATGCAAGGCCAGTGCAGCTAAACTACACCAGTGGGGCAAAGCAGCCGCCCTCCTTGTGATCAGAACTTTCAGAGTTCTTCCTGCTAGTCAGAGTCACTTATGAACTACCTGGGTTCTCTCCAGGGGCTGGCTGGCACTGAGCACTTGAGGTTAAAGAGACTGAGACCGAGATGGGCGGAACTTCCCTAGCTTTTATTCTCAATGTAAGACACCTGTTCTGTCACACACTGATCCACCTGCTCAGATATCTCGCCTCAAGCAGCAGCCAATATTTGATGCTACAAAAGGAAGAGGGGGCAGGTAAGCAATTGTGAAGGGCGATGAAGACAAAGGGGGTATAAGATTCCCTCCTGCTCCATGCTGGAATTGTCTCACGCCCTGACCATGAAACTGGATTGCCATTATTGTCGATTTTGTAACTCCATGTCATCAATGGTCAGAAAATTATTCATTTCTTTTACAGAATATTCAACTTCCACCTCCTCTGTGTTCAGATTCAAGTATTTGTGACTATAAAATGGCAGTTTTAATCCCCCCCCCCCCAGCCATCTTGGAGGAGACAGTAAGAGAATCAAGTGTTTTAGTCACTCGGGAAGTGAAGACCATTAGAATATATTACGTTTCCTGCCCCCTCTCCAGCTGCACGTTCCTGGCTGGTTAAAAAAATAAAAAATAAAAATTTTAAATCATCAAAAATTCTTTCAGAATGAGACTAGGCAAGTAACTAAAAGCAGCCTCGCTGTTTCCACAGGCCGAGTCCTTCAGCTTTCAAAGAGGACATTTCAGAAAGGGAAATGAATATTTAAAAAGAATACATTACTGACTGCAGTCTCCGGTTTATGGGAATAAAAGCCTTGTGTAATGCATGTAATTAACATCTCTGTATCAACGAGCAATAAAAATACATCCTTTCCCAGCACTACTGCACATGGTTTGTGATCGTTCAGAGCCAATATGGGTTTGCTACAAGCAGTCAGATTGTTAAATATCTTCCCCAAATTAGCCTGTTTAGACAGCTGTGGTTATAAGCAAACAAAGCTGAAAGACTACTTTAAAAACCTGTGCATCTCATTATTAGATGAGGAAAGACTAGATTTTAACTAGATTACTGACCGAGATGAGAACCTAACATCTATCAGCCTGGGGCCTGGAGAAAATACCCCAAACAGTAGGGGACGGCTTCACATTGCTTACCTGACTCTGTGAGTCTGAGTTCACAGTCCATGTAATCAAACATCTCGACTGTGAGCTGAAAGCTGAAAAAACAAAATCCCCCCCATCATGTTACACAAAGAGCAAGGTCAGGATCAACATAGAAACCCTTATTTAAAAAGATGCTGAAGTATTGTACAGCACAGTATTGTAAGACACCTTCACAACACTGTCAGCTGCACTGTTCAGACCACAGCTCCAGTCATTTATTTTTACCATCGGCACATGGTGGCAGGGGTAGCAAGCAGGCTATAAATACAAACCTAACTGCCACTCAGCAAGTGAGAGGATTACTACAGTACTAGATATACCCTTGGTAATACTGCAGTAACAGTGCAAAGCGATATACTTGCATTGGGTTCCCACTGTGTGTGGGGGCCATGACTGTAGGGTGCTGTCTTATGTTTAGTACTGCAGTTTTGTCATTGCATTCCTGCAGTGCTTACACACAAAACTTTCTTCCTCCCTCATCCCTGGAGAAGCAGTTATTACTATGGCACTGGGTGCCCTTTCGTCAAAAAATACTAAAGCACTCTACAGTAAAGGCTATCAACCACGGTGGTAACGCAGCGGAAGGTGCATGTTTGGGGCCAGGACCATAGAACGTTGTCATCTCTTTCCCCCAGCATCGGTGCACAGTCCTGTTCTATTATCACCTTTAGACATTGCCATTAGGACCCAAGATGCTGCAGAGCGCCAACAGGTCCACGGAGGGAGAAGCAGATTCTCCCCCCTTACCCCATCCTGCTTGTGGATTGGACTATCAGACCCCCTGCTATGCAACAGGGTCAGCTCCCTCCTTACAGTATGCAAGTCACTTTCTGAGGGTTCCCAAACAGAATGGGATGAGGTTGGGAGTGGAGCCACTGGGCTATTTTTCGTTGCATTCTGGTGCACACAGAATAAGAGAAAGTCAGCCATTGACCCCTAGGGACTTCTGGGAAGCAGCTATCTGGGCATTCTTACCACGGGGTCCTGGCTGCCATCTCCTTAACAGATGGACTTTGGAATCGGGATCACAGAAGTCAGAGGTAGATAGATGGAATGTCCCTATTGGGCCATCTAGGCAAACCCTCCCAACCCAGCTTGTTCCTGACAGGGTTTTCTCCACAGCTCTGTCCAGTCTTAAGAGACAAGGAAAGGGGCTTCCACCGCCTCCCTTTGGAAAGAATCTAACAGATCTGACTGTTTCCTGATGCGCTGCGAAGGTGACAGAACTTTGGGGCCCGCTTTTCAGAGGTGTCGAACACCCAGGACTCCAATGAGAGCTGCAGGTACTCAGGTCCTCTGAAAATCAGGCCTTTGCTTATTTGCACTTTGGCCCATGGCTGGAAGGGTCGGCTGATGTGGTTAAAGGCTGAAGTTCCCTGCAGGAGGAGTATCATCAGCGTGCACTTACCTTTACACTCAGCACCATCTTGCCACTTATAAACGATAAACAACAGTCTCACCCACAGCTCACGCAGCACTCCGCAAAGGTGCTTCTGTGCAAAGACGCTGTTTGCCTCACTCAGATTTATGATGCATTTTGTGGCTATATTAATCTAATAAAATAAGCTGGCCTCTGTCTCCCACACAGAGCACCGTGAACTTTAATGTGGGGTACTTCATTAGCAGGATGCACCATTTACATTAATGGTGCTCAGGACAAAGAGAGTCATGCTTTGTAGAAGGTTTTAAATACCTAAAAGGAAACTTACATGTTATTCACATCTGTCCCAGCAGCCTTTTCTAGCACCTCATCCGTCACTTCTAGGCCTGGGGGAAAGTCATGATGCTTCAAAAAAGAAAAGTCTTCATGAATTCAGTAGCATTTTTTTATGGCAGGTCCCACACCTCCACTCCAGACACATAGGTACATTTCAGGCTAAGATCCCTGCTGAATCATGGCTCTTCCTAATCTAATATTCACACCCGCTCTCAGAACAGTGTGAATTCAACAAATAAGAGAAAAAGAACAACAGCTTGTAGCAAAAATCTGTCAAAATTTCAGAGGGGGGAGATGGAATTACCTTTAGGTGAAAGGATATCTTGGTGAGTAGAAGTTTGGTATAAATATTCACAAGCTGCCCATATCTGTCGTGCAAGTGCCCCTGCCAAGGAATATCAGGGAAACATTACAAAACTTCTGGGTGACACTAAACATTCATCTTCCCACCCAGCTGAACAGGACTCAGCCATCAAAGAGAGGAGTGTCTCCAAACTCAGGCACAGCTCCACTAAAGTCAAAGGAGTGCCACTGATTTCTGCCACCCGAGGATCTGGCCTCCAAAGGACCAGGAAGAAAAATGTAATTGTGGGCATAGTAGGGTGGGACCTCACACGCCTCTAAATACAGCTCTCATTCACAAACACAGAACCACACTGCTAGTCCCATCAGGAAGAAGAAATCACTGGCTCAGTTCCAAAGGATAAATCACTTCCAGTCCCCTGACGAAGGTGGAAAAGACTTTCCTTTTATTCATGATCCAAACACGAGAAGAATATGGACAAATTCCAGTTTAGGCTATAAATGTAATTGCCTATCTACCCTCTCCCATCCCCTCCTACCCCCCTTTGCAGTGTCAGTTAGATGCAACAGTCTCTCCCACCTCCTGTCCTAAACTCCCCTAGAGTTGCTGTGTAACACAAAGCTCCTGCGCTCCATTCACTCAAGATGGCCACACTTCAACAGATCCTTGCTACTTAGGGATTACAGCTGGGCGTTAAGGTGATGGTTAATGATTTCCATAGTATCCAACTACCACCCAAAAGCCTTCGTATCATAACACAGAAACCTTCAACACCCCACTCAGAAACAAAGCATTCACCAACAAACACCCTCCCGCCCTGCACTTCTCCAAAGGCCTGACTGCTCTACCCCCGTTTCAATGCAAGGCTTTCAGTGGCCAGCACAGTCCATTGCTGAAACTCACCCACAGGTCTCCTGTCTCTCGGATATTACTCTGATATCTTTGACAGTCTTGAAGAACCTGGGGGAAAAGGCAGAGGGATCAGATATGCAGCCTGTGTGCTTAAGAGTATGGGGGCGGGGGAAAAAAAGAGGATCAAGACAAGCCTGACCTGAACTGCCCCACCCAAGCTTCAGTCTACAACCCCCTCTCAGCCCCGTCTGTTGCACCGTACATATCTGGATTTGTCAGTTCCCCCTTTACTGACCTATTGCAAGGAAGCAACACAAGGAAATTCCAAGGGGAAATTTTAACTGGTTCAAAGTGGCAACAAGATTTTTGAATGGAGGGATTGATCTAATGGTTCCTGGTCCTCTAGCAGAAACCAGAAATGGATCCCATTTGTCCACAGAAGGTGGAGACTGAGCTGAAGTTTCAGTCTAAAAACAATGGGGCTGTTCAAGAAGAGATGTGTACATTCTTAAAGGACGTGTTAGAACAGAGCACTTTAAACACAATGTTGCATTTTGGGAAGCAGATCTAGTAATTAGAGTTTCAGAGTAACAGCCATGTTAGTCTGTATTCGCAAAAAGAAAAGGAGTACTTGTGGCACCTTAGCGACTAACCAATTTATTTGAGCATAAGCTTAAGTAATTAGAGTAGGGAACTAGGAGTCAGGAGACCAGGTGTTAGTCCCCCTCTGCTTCCGTGACTTTGGGCCAGTCACAAACTCACTGTGACTCAGTTTTCCCAACTATGAGGCAAGAAAAATGACACCCACTTTCAAGAAGTGCTTTGAAATCTACAGGTTAAAAGCACTAGGCAAGTGCCTATGTATAACCATTAAGTTGGGTGACTGCTTTACTCAGTATTTACTAAATTGAATGTAGTGAAAATTAACATTTTTGGAAGCTTCACTGAATTGTTATCTAGCTAAGGCTTTTCCTAGGTGCCTTTCACCTTGGTATCCAAGTGCTGAGCTAGTGATCTATGTATTTAAAACCCAAAGCTCGACTCTCTCTCAACACAATCAGCCTAACACTAATGTCTGTATCAGCCTCTGTGGTTAGCCTACAAGCTGACAGGAAGAAGCCTCCCCGAGCTCACTGCTGTGTCCCAAACCCCTTGCATTAAACGTTAAAAACAGAGGGGTAGTACTGGAACAGGAGACCCCAGCAAGGCCCTCGGCATTCACAGATGGCACAGCTGATCGCAGCCAGGCCTCGCCAGTGAATTGTAGCCTTGTATTCGCTGGAGGGCCAGGCGCCGATCTCCAGGAAGCGGCGCATGGAGCAGCGAGGGAGGAGAGCTCTGGAATATATGTGAGGTGAACATTAATGATCCTCACTGGAGGAGTGTGTTAATACACAACAGAGGAAATGAAGGGAGTTCAGCAGCAGAAACACACCAGTAAATGCTGCAGCCCACGAAGGCTTCCTTAAGCACGGAAGACCTTGCACCTGCTGCCCAGATTGTAAAATGTTGCTGGGCCAGCCAGACACACTTTCTCCTATTTCCGATACCTCTCTTCCCTCTGACTTTTTAAATGCCTCTCCAGGGTCTTTCCACCAGGTTGGTGAAGTTGGGGAAGTATTTCCCTCCCATCAGCAAGCAAGAGGCAGCAGAGAGCAGCGGTCACCCTCTCCTACATGCGCAGAGTCTACCCTACAGTCCCACCAACTGGGAGCCAAGAGTCCTGGGTTCTACTACTGGATCTCCCACTGACTTGCCACGTGCCCTCAGGCAAGTCACTTCATCTTTCTGTGCCTCAGTTTCCCTCTCTGCCAGATGGGGAGCAGGAAGCGGGAGCCTCCTTTATGATGGGCTTTGAAAGCTACGGATGAGACACACTCTATGAATGCACAGTACACGATTATTAAGCGGAAGGGAAGGAGCTACTTACATTGTGATGGCCATCTCTCAGGACTTTGTGCACAACATGGCAGAACTTCCAGCTGAGGATGGAGCTGCTGGGCAGGGGGAGGCCAATAGCGTAGGACCAGAAAGTAAATGCTCCTTTCTCATGGTGAGTTCCCAAGATAATTCCTTTCCAGACGTCAAGGCTAATTGAACAGCTAGAAACTCACGGCAGCCATTCCAATCTGACACGCTCATTATCTGTGTTTTCTTTATTGCAATCAGCTTCTCATTACGACTCTCGCCTCATCAAAAGAGTCAGGGTTCGGGTGACTAATCACCAATTTATGTTACATTTACTTTTTACAAAAGGCCTCAAGCTGGACTCTGGTGTGACGGCACACCAAAATGATGGCCTGGGAATGGACTGTGTTGCCAGCAGTGGGACATCCAAGTACAGCCCCATGTCCCTGCAAGCAACGGAAAGAGCAGAACTGCCTCACCCCACTTTGTACCCAGCTCCTGCTCTTTGTCAGCGAGTGTTTGAAAATTATTTGGTGTTATATTTCTCCTGGTGCTGCACATTTACTGATCGCAGCAAAGACACTGGAACATACAACACGCCATCCCACATCAAACCAGTGGTCTGTCAAGTCCAGTGTCCTACCCCCAGCTGCAACCTATGACTCAAAGGAAGGCAAATCTCCTCCCCACCTGCCCCACTCCCCAAAATACCCCATTATCTATTGGCAAATTCCTTTCTGATCTCCGGGGCAATTAAAAGAAAGACACCCTGAAGTATGAGATCTCATTGAGAATTGTGTGATGATGTGTAGGGAAATCTGACCATGAGATTACAAAGCTCCTTTTGAAACCTGGCCACAGTACTGGGCTCTGAGAAGCAGGGGTCACCGTCATTGCGAAGGAAAAGGATACTGCGGACATGTTTCTCTTTCACAGGCGCTTCTTGTGTATTGATGGCTTTGCTAATGCTCATAGCCTGTGCGGGGAGAAAAGAGGAGATGTCAGAGGCAGAATCAGCACAATCCTTTACTGCCAAACATTGTTAGTCCATAAAAAACTCAGGCACCAGGTCTGTTTCTGGATCCTTCTTGTCATTCAGTAGGCACTGCCTGGCCATATGGAGCGTTTGATAATGCTCTCAGTTTATACAACCTGCATTCCAACTATTCAGCCTTAGACTATCTCTGGGCAAGGAGAAAAGGAGTACTTGTGGCACCTTAGAGACTAACCAATTTATGTGAGCATGAGCTTTCGTGAGCTACAGCTCACTTCATCGGATGCATACCGTGGAAACTGCAGCACTTTATATATACACAGAGAATATGAAACAAGTCATCTGATGAAGTGAGCTGTAGCTCACGAAAGCTCATGCTCAAATAAATTGGTTAGTCTCTAAGGTGCCACAAGAACTCCTTTTCTTTTTGATGTCAAGAATTGCTCAGGACATCTATCAAATGATTTCTTTTGTACCTGCTAGCAATACAGCCTTGTCTTTGTATCTGACAACCATCTTAAGTCTTGCCTTGTACATCACCGACCAGAGAGATTCTAGCTTTTGAATTTGGGAGTCAAGTTGACGAGAGCAACCATGGCTGCTATGATCATAGTAAATACACAGACTGCATTTTCTCAGCAATAACTCAGAGAGGTGTCTACAGAGCAAACACGCATAACAGCAAAATGCCAATTTCAGAGCTGTTTATCTAACCATAACAAGCCTTTGAAATGTTTATTTCTTTTCACACAGTAGGTGATATTTTATTGGATCACCTTCTGTTGGTGAAAGAGACAAGCTTTCGAGCTACACAAAGCTCTTCTTTTCACAGCTTTGATGGCATCTGCCTTTATGTCTCCTTAAATCAATCTCTCGTCAGACCTCCTTTTGTAGTTTGAACTCCTAAAATTTAGAAAAGAGGCCACAAATAAATATGGGATTAGCCTCTGTCACACCCATTCAAAAGAACTCAAAGTACAGGGCAACATGATGAAAGTAGCAGCAAAATGCTATGAGAGTGATGCTGATTGCAATCTTTATTAGGTGGATAAACTACACCTTTAGGGTCTAAACACTTTCATCATGCCCCAATCTTAATCACACAGTTCTACTCTGAAGACTGACCCTATAAACAATGCCATCCATTTGCACTGGGTCTCAGTGACTCCAAATCAAGATATACTCAGTCTACAACTAAAGATTTTTCCCCCCTAATTCCTAGTCCTGCAACTCATCCACGGGTCCGAGCATGCAACCTGGGCTTTCTTCCTTCTTGCATGACCAATAAAAGGGTCAGCAGGCTGAATTCCAGCCTCAACCATATCTGTGTAACCACATTGTCTTCAGTGGATTTGTATAGGTGTAACCGCCCAACCCTGTAATTAGATCTTGGTGAACAATCCTCCCAATGGTGCATATACCAGAACAGACTCCTGCTCTCTCTCAATGCTACATTAACTTTGCAGGGCTAACAGAGGTAAAGCCTTGTTATACCATCCACAGTACGCAGACAGGATACTGAAGACTCACCAGGAGTAGGCCTGGTGAATATTAAGATGCCAATTTTACATTGTCAGGGGAGAGTTGCAGTTTAAATGCATTATGATCCTAAGGGGCGGATCACATAAAGAACAAGCTTTCTAGTCATAAGTAGAGCAGCAATCAAATGGCCAGATTGAAAACATTCCTGTAACTTTGATTCTTATCAGAGTTTCCTCCTGTTTACTCTGGGAGTTTCTGCCTGTTGCCTCAGAGCTTCAACACAACAGCAAATGCTAGGCTGTGGTTTTGCACCACGGATGGATTTTCAGGAAAGGAGGTGCATTGATCTAGCGTCAAGACACCTACAACTTGAGCTAGGATCCCAAAATGAGAGAGCGGCATCTCAACACACACTGCATTCTCCAGCCCTTTGCCCTGCAAAGGCAAAAGGTTATTTTGTGTCTGGGGAAGAAGGAATGTGAATGGGCAATCTGGCTAACAAGATGAAGAGGTGAAACACTTGTCAGGAGAAGCATCAGATGCACCATCCACTGCAAAGCCTGAAACACTCAGCATAGCTTTGAGAAATCTAGTCAAAGCCAAGGCTCAGTCCAGTGCCCCACTCACAACCCCACCCCCTGAACAGTATTTCTTGAGCTATTTAGTTTGGTCCTAAACCCTATTTCTCAGCCTCCCAACGTTAAACATTTCAATGTGCTGCAGATTTGGGGGCTGACAAGATGTAAGTGCGGGAAGAGCAGCTCTACAGCCTTCGCCGCAATATCCCACCAACTGGATTCTCTCCCGCCCTGGAGAGACCGAACGGGGGCAGCCTCTGTGTCTCTAGGCTCTGCTGAAACGGACAACAAGAACTTTTGTTTGTGTGAACTGGGGCAATGACTTCTAGGACATGGAGAGACACCTGATAAGATCTGTCCTTGTTAACTGGCTTCTAGCCTTAGGCCATGTCTTCCCTCAGAGTTCAGTCAGGTGATCTGTGCTCAAGTCTAGCCTGGGTGCGAGTGGCCACGCTGCCAACCAGACTCGAATTACTGTGTCCACGCTGGCATTGCGCTCACTGTGCAAGGCCCTAGGATTTCTGGGGTCGGAGCTCATGGTTCTTAGCACTGCAGTAAGGTGGGTAGCTCTGTGATTCTTTCCCAGCGACTTGTGGGAGAACGTGTCTATCTTTCTGGGCACACGGGGTGGGGAGGTGAACTGCGGGAAGGCACTGGAGGAATATCAGCTCTCAGATGGGTTAGCCTGTGTCCTCACCACAAAGCTGTCAGATTACCAGCTCAAGTGTAACCAGCATTTGAGTGTTAGCCTATAATCCAGGGCAGGCGAGCTAGTCTGGTTCAAAAGGACCACCAGACTCAGGGAAGAGAGCATTATGTGTGAACAGGAGCGGGGCTAGGGGTTAATAACCAAGGAAAAGTCTAAATTAACTCTGCAGTGAAGACAACCTTTAAGTTTCTCACATCAGTGTTGTAAGAGAAAGGCTGCTCTAAGAGTCCTAAAACCACACTCCAAGCCTACACAAACACACCCTCCCTGCCCCCGACACACACAGCCCTACCTCCTTGCCCCCAACACATACACCTCCTCTTACTTGTAATGGGGGCTGGGAGAATGCACTGAGAGAGGAGAGTAGCCCTGCTACAACACATAGAAACACTCGATCTCTAAAGTGGCCATTACATGATGCAGAAAGGAGAACCAGAAAACCACAGGACAAATGTGATACATTGAGAGGTGGCACGTGACCTTACTGCTCAGCTAGAGAGATGAGACCCTTCGCATCTCTACAGAGGGAGATGTGTAACAGACAAGGGTCACACACCCCCTCTGGATGGAGGAAACTCACCCCATGCTTTCCCACAACAGTTCACATCCCAGAAGAACCTCAGTCATGTGATGGGTGCCATATGGGCCAACCCTGGGAACTGAAGCAGGGAACTCCAGAGCTAAAAGCATGAGTCTACAGCTCGAGGTAAAAAACAGACCTTCAAGCCAAGTGCTATAACAGACCTGTATCCCCTGTGGATGGGGCACAGAGGGCGGAGAAGTACACACACAGACCCTGACTAGCGGGTTAAACAAGCTTAGTTAAAAACCCCAAATATGGGCCAGCTTCCCCAAAAGGCTGCAGAACCCAAGAGAAGATTCAAGTTGACTGTTTGGATGCTTTTAGAGGCTTGCTAATACTAATCTTCGTATGTCCCTCACAGGGCACACAATTTCCTCCCAGGGGGAACAGAATTCATCTCCAAAGCTGGCTCTACCTGTAAGTCTGTGACGTTATATTCCGCACCCCGTACGGTTGGATCTGCACGTTTGAGGGTCTCCAGGAAACATATGGTGTTTGAAGTTATTATTGTCCCATAGCTCCCACCATGCAGAGTCCTCATTCAATTTCTACATGCCTGACCTCATTTCATACAGAAGTCTATTGTGCCATCAATTCATTTACATTTGAAGAACCAGTGCTGCAGCTGAACTGTATAAATAAATGAAGACATCGCTACTCAGAATGATATACTACTGGTTAATTGTTCCTCATGTTTAATGGTACAACAACCCGTAAGACTTCCATATACAATTAAAAAAAAATCCCTGGATGTTATGGTCATCCTAGACATCTCATTTGTACATATTCCATTTAGTGAAAACAGTTGTGCTTTGCTTTGTCCGGTATCACTATGCACTACTCCATCCTGCCTGTGAAACCTGGATTATAAAAGGTTTCAGAGTAGCAGCCGTGTTAGTCTGTATTCGCAAAAAGAAAAGGAGGACTAAGAGTTGTCTCTAAGATGCCACAAGTACTTCTTTTCTTTCTGGATTATAAAATGCTCTTTGCTAATGACTGAGAAACCCAGCCTCTGATCTTTCAAACACGCACTATACAACGCAACCAGTGAGTTGAAGGGCTGCTCTACACTGAAAATTGACATGGACATAGGTATGTTCCTCTCATCCCAGTGCCTTTAAGAGTACACATACCATAAGACAAGACAGTGAGAATCTCTCTGCTTACAGAGCACACACCAAAAAGGTATCCTTTTGAAGGAGAAAAGGTGGACCTCTGTTTATTTTTCTAGAAAAGAGGAAATCTCTCTCATATAAGTTTTTAATAGACACCAATTATCTTAGTATCTAGGGGCGGACCACAGCACAAAAAGGGATCAGAATGGATTCTGCTCATCATCCTGGAGTTCAGCCAGTGAAACTGAGTTTGCCTCCTGCCCAGCTGTTTTGTTCTATTCAAGTTCTTGTGCTGTACCCATCACCACAGTATCTGGGCACGAGGGGGAAAGCTTTTGCAAAAGGGCAAGAAGCCGGATGGACTAGAGCTCATTCCAGTCTCCTGTCAGGATACAGATTCATAGATTCATAGACATTTAGGTCAGAAGGGACCATTATGATCATCTAGTCTGACCTCCTGCACAACGCAGGCCACAGAATTTCACCCACCACTCCTGCAAAAAACCTCACACCTA